TCATTGGATTGGCTTATGTTTTCGCAGTTCAAAACCCAAGGTGATCTACGATCAAACGACTCCCCCACATCCATTTGAGGTTTCCAAGTGACCCCCGACCCTCACCAACCTAACCTTCCCATCAGGTCCCATGCGGGACTGGCAGGTCCGCCGCAACGCTTCGACCCACCGAACCCACCGGGCCCAAGACTCGCTTCGAGTCGCCTTGAGGCCCCCTACCCCCGGTTCGACACGAGGCTCGTGTAACAAAGCAACCCAACATGTCACATGACCAAAAGGCGTGGCAACACATGCCACTGGGGCTGTAATATTATGTTATATTCTAATCTTCTTCACTAGCAAGCTCGAGCCCTCCACATGTGTCTTTAACAAATGCTCAACTTGTGACTTCCTTGCCTCCGCCCGCGGCATGGACTACTAGTTGAGCTACGTGAGTGCACACATGAAGTGGCTTGGGACCTCATCGATAGGCTTGGCTATCTAGGGGCACTGGGAAGCATGTGACGTGATTTTCAGCAAAAGCATCAGCTAGCATCGATGGGTGCCTGACATTCCGACATCCCACATTATACGGGTGACTTCCAAGCCAGGAGTCTGAAAGAGCTCCTCCGGCGGCAAGGGCTCCTCCGGCGGCTGAGGCTCTGGCACCTGGGCGATGGAGATGGGAGAAAAAATCAACTCAAACGGTCAAAGAAGTGTTTGTCTTTCTCCTGATTTTGGATCAGCTTGTATGGTAATTTCAATTGCTTCCTGTGGTGGATGGGCCAGTGATGGCTGAAAAGCTAGGCCAAGCGGCACCACTATGGTCAAAATGTGATGCCCTTGGAAATCTGGAGTGGCCAAGTTCGGTCAGGAATCATACAAGTGCCATATGTACAGGTGAACCACACGGAATCATGTCCAAAGCAACTCCCTCTTCTCAGGGGTGTGAACTACACTTCTGAGGCTTTGGGTGGCTTTCTTTTAAGATAATCAGGTGAGTCTTGTTGATCCCGACCAGACTGTTAGTAGGGTCGTTCCCTTCATTCAGGGGCGTTGTTCTCAGGCTCTCCAAGCGGCGTCGTTCTGCAGCATGGCCGCCGCCTCCGCTGTGCGGTGTGCCAGCTCCTAAAGTTGCGATGGATGAAGGCAAGTGAGGGATGCAAATTGCACCCGTCTGCCGTAGATCAGCAGGACACCAAACATACCCTCCTTCAGACTTCAGAGCCTTCAAACAATCATGAGTGGAACAGTGGAACATAAGCACCTGGAACACTGATGGAATCTACAAAGACGAATTCAACTTCCACGATTCCACGATTGTCTAAGAGATGCAAGTCCCTCTCCACAAAAAAATATCAATCAAACACACACCCAAACACACACTGTGTGGATGGATGGGGCATGGGATTGGTGATGCCTGACTGTGCGACCACTTGTGCGACCATATTATTGTATCCATTGCTGGGTTTGCATGCCAATCCCGTGTCCACACTCATTTGTGTAAAGCCATTCGACGGCACTTCTGATCAAATGGAAGACCTCGTCAACAAGGAACAGAAACACCAGTTCATTGTCTGGAGTCTGGAGTGAAAGGAAGAAGGGTAAGCCGGGTAAGCCGGTGTGCATCCGCCCACCTTCAATCCAATCCCAGCAAATGCGGATCTTGGATAAAACAATAAATAAACAAAACACACAAACACATGTCCGGCCTTCCAGTTTGACCCCGACTAAGCCGTTCATTCATTTGTAGCTGGGCGACTAGCATCACCCCGAAAAAAACACTGTGCTTGGATCTTCTGGAGCGTCACTGAACAAAGCATCCGTCTATCTGGCTGGGCCCCAGTTGAAACTCCACATCTTGGTCAGCAAATCTCTAAAAGATTCTAGAAGCATTCGGATATGGGCGTATATATTACTATTGCATACTATTGTATATTAAACTAGGGAGACCTCCAGTTCGACGCGGAAGGAGCGAAATAGACCAACACCCAATGGACCACGGGGTCCCCCCATTAAAATGCATATTGCATACCCATCTCTCTCTCTCTCTCTCCATTCTGCTCCAAGCTGCCAAGGCCGTCGTGAGGTTTCTCTCCAATCGGAATTGCTTTTCCTCAGTTTCGCTCGGATGGACCGCCCGGGCACACCGGCAGGGCTGTACACGAGTCCCTTGGGCGCCGAAGGTCCACGTCGGCCCCCCAGGTCAGCATGGGCCCCGAACACCACTGAGGGCTGGGTCCATGGAAGACCATTCCCGGGACCGGACCGGGCGGGTTTGGGAGCGGACGGACACTGAACGCCATCCGAACGGGTGAAGTGACCGCCGGCGGCTCGATGGCGAGCACTGAAGCGGATGAAGTGCAATCCAGTGTCTTCCATCACCTCCTGCAGGGCTTGGGTGGCGATACTGATGAGGACTCTTATGGCTACTGTAGAATCTGTAGAGGAATTTCTTGCACCACCAAAGGACGTGCATCATTTTGACCGAATAACCTGAATGACCCACTTGGTCCAAAGCTCAGAAGGAATGCCTGGATTCTGGATCCCCGATTCTGTGGCGCCAAAGGCGTGGGGCCCAGCCATCAGAGGCCCAGCCATGTGAATATACAAGCACCAAATGCATATATAGCTGGGGGAGAGTATATAGTTGGTAAACAAAATATGGTGCATGGGATGTGCGTCACGGGCAAGCTACATGGTTGGAACCTGAAGGAACGCACACCACTCGAGGTTGGCTTCGGATGATCGGGCCCCTGAGGTCGCTGGTCGGGCTCCAGGTTGGAACGACCCAAGCCTCTCAAAGGACCCATGGCCCATGCAAGAAACTGCATGCCACCTGAGCCTCCCAAGCCTTGTCCGCATAGGCCTTCTTTGCAAACCTCATTGGCAGGCAAATGACGAGTGGATTCTTATGAATTCTTCAATGCAACTGTAGCTGTACGTTCCAAATTGAGGGACAACAATACTGATGCAGTGCCAACGTCCATGTGCCAAAATGTCACAGGTTTTCTCGCCGTGCCAACGTTACCAAATGTTACCGGTTGGTCTGGCCGAAAAAATGAAACATCGTCCAATCCCAGAAACAGCTCATCAATCTCTGCGAAGACCTCCTCCGGAGTCTTCTTGCGCTCCTTCTTGGTGAGCTGAATCCCCAGCCTGCGCTCAAAAAAGCGCCAGGTGCGCTGAACCCATCTGAACCCCCATTTCATGCACTGGGTGGGAATTGGCAAGCTGCAATTGGAGGCATGATCAAGGACCAGCACCTTTGCAGACCAAACGAACACCCCAATCAGCAGAAAGGGGTGAAATTGTCACAGTCAAAGCACTTCTTAATAGGTGCCAAATTCGAACCAACACAAGCAGGCCTCACGAGGTGGCAATCGTGTCCGCACATGTTCTGAATCTTATATATACGAAAGACCGAAACACGTCTGATCATCCTCCAAAGTTGCTGAACAATGCTGAACACATCCCCTGAATAAGACATTCTGAGGATACGTGGTTTCTTGATGTTCTTGAAAGAAAGCCCAATTTCAAATCATGGGGCAGGTGGCACTTTCATGCCCCAACAGCGCAATTGCTGATTCCATGATTTGTCACTTGCTCTACTTGCTTTAGAGCTTCACATTCTCATCGTTTTCTTAGTGCACTTCACGACCCCAAGAGTTGGCAGACGTTTGGCCCGCAAGACCCCGGCCTCTTCTCTCTCCTGAGCTGAACCAATGGGAAAGAAAGAACCAGCTCTAGGCTCCAGTGACATGATACCTCGTGACATGCACATGTCCCCACCATCTCTCCATCCGCTTTTGAACGCCCCATTTTCCACCCGTCCGCCACCATCGCTCCATCCGCCACCGCACGGAAACACCGCGCCAGTCGTGTTCTCTGTCCGTGTCGTCGACCGAGGTGCAGCGCCAGCTGCTGTGGATGACGCAGGGGCACCACATGGATTTTGGGGAAGTGCTGCCGCTGGGGGCCTGGTGACGTCGCAGGACGTGTCCCCAACACGAACACCGATCTGATCACGCGGGATGTCCATTCCCATGCTTGGGGAACTGATCATTGATTGGGATCTTTTTTCTCATATATGATGAAGACCCTGTGGCTCCTCTCTGTGTGTGTCATGATTCTCTGTTCAAGCCAAGCTTAGAACAACCACACCCATCCGCACGCGACGAGGAAGCCGTGTCCTGGTAGCCGTGGCAAGCTTTGTGACTTCTGCATCGCTTCACCTCCGGTGACGCGGTAGCCGTGGTCGTCAACACTTGCGAAGGACTGAGGATGGCTGGACCATGAGGTACCAAAGGCCCGTTCTGGTGCCTATCCTTATATATGGACCTTAGAGCGCCCAGTCAGAGTACATGGTGGATCGCATGGATTTGGCAGGCACTCCTAGCCGAACACATGCGAAAACTGTGCTTACCGGGATCGTCCATTGGGCGTTCATGGATTAGCCTATAGGTCTTTTAGTATCCTCGGGGCTGGCTTAGGATTCATTTTTGACTAAATCTCCCAAATGGACACCCCTTGGATGATCAAGGTCTATAGGAGTTTTCTCCATGGTGGTTTTGTTGGTCGCCTCGCTAGGTACACTCAATGGTCGATGCTGTTCGCGACATCGCCTCCCACTGGCAGCGGGCCACTTCCATGGAAAGCTGGCGGCTCGCATGGTGTCTTGAGCCGAAAAGGCTGGGAATTTGTTCATGTGTCCTCCGCTGACTCAGTTAGTGATTCGATGAGCCTGGTTGCAAGTTTGCCTGCTTAAAAGAAGAACAAGCAGCAAACTGAATCAAACATGTGATGAATCATATTGCATCATGATGGACAATATATGGTCAGGCATGCTCTGATCGGCAATGCCTTGCATTGCGCAGAAAATAAACTATGGTTGTACTGTTGCACTATGAGCATAACACATCTGTAGTAGACATCAAACCTCATCAATACATATCTGTATCATCTATATACATCAAACTAACTATGACATCAAACCCCACCCTCCAACCGGGCTGCCATGCCAAATCCCGGTACTGCAAGCCCGTGTCGCTCGTCGTCCACGGCTTCTCTTCCGCCGCGGCAGAGAACGGCCGCGCTGCCGTCCACAGACCAGGCACTGTTAGGGTGGCCCAAAGAGCTCTGCACGGCCTGCCAGGCCCAATTGCATGGCGGTGCTGTCCGTGGCTGAGTGGCTGGGTGGGTGAGTTGGTGATGTTGAGGACTATATACTATATACACCTGCGTAGGTGTGCAGCCATTAATGATTTGAAGTGCCCCAGCATGTGCAAGGTCAAGAAGAACATTGACAGGGATCTTCAAGTTTTTGAAAAACAGCTGGCGTGAAGGAAAGCTTCCTTTGTGTTTCTCTGTGTTTATGTATTATGATCATGAGTGTAATTAATGTGATACGAGAACTTTGAAATGCACCCGGGAGAAATCTGCTCAGACTTCTGGACCGAAGACCCCAATTAAATGGTGCCACCTGCCAAAGAATCATAATAGTGATGTAGAACTGGGTGCAAGTCGCTATAATCAAGGAAGCATAGAAGCACTCTCCTCGACTCAAGCCCTTGCCTTGAAGGACATTATCCAGGTTTGGCATTCTTGGGTAAAAAGCACCGGTTGAGAGATGTCTGTCACTCCATCTGAAGCATTGGTGCTGAAAGGCACCCCCAAGTGGAAATCATCATTGACGAATACATACGAATACCAAACTAAACAGAGGAATTGCTGAATGCCCTTTTTGTTGGCAGGTCTGGAGAGATGTGCAGTACTCGGTGGGGCCGGCGCCGCCTCCAGCTCACCATCCCATCCTACTCTGGGCCCGGTCGTTTCCAGAGTCCCCCGGCCGTCTCCCGGGAGCCGGGATTTCCCGTGCCAGGGTCAGCTCCTGGATGCGGGAACTGGAGTTCGTGAACTGGGAGAGTGGACCTGGTTGCTCGCTAGTGGGGGGTCTGGTTTCTCCAATACGCTCAGGATGTTCTCTCTCTCTCTCTCTGCAACGTCTAGTTGCCTCACGAAGATACTGCCGTGGAGTCTTTCGGACATGTTCAGGTTCCTCCCACCGTCCATGCCATGTGCTCCCAGGTCCTTTGTGACTGCCCGTGCGCGTGAAAGCGCGACGCCATGTCTCCAAAACCTGGGAGACATGGCATGGACCCATGAGGAAATCCACCAAAACCGATAACGTCCATTTTTTGAGTTGAAGAAACATAAGTTTTGACCGTCCCTCATATATACTTTAGTTTTGCTTATACTGGTTACAGTATATCTAGTTACTGGTGTTCATTAATTAAACACAATTAAACAATTCTGAAGCTTTGTTCATTGCTGCTTATCCGCAAAGAAGTCGCCTCCAGTTACTTTGGGGAAACCTGGGCTGTTTAAGAATCCCACAGAACGTCACAAACAGGCTCTTAATGAAATGAAAGCCACATATTGCAAACAATGAATATACACACACATATATCCTTACCTATAGTCACAAAAGCTCATTATCTATACCAGAAGAAGCCATATAGCCCCGTTTTTGGGGATTGTTTTGGTGGGTGACAGTCCTCCCACACATGGCATCTCCATGCAACCACTGTGCAATGCCGAGGACGGTCGCATGGCCCGCCACACGCGACAAGGCGGTGCTTGCTCTCCGCGACCGTGCGATGCGCTTTCTGCTTGAGCCAGGTTTGGCAAACGGCATCGAATCCAGTTCAGCAGAGCTGTGCTAACTGTTGAGAGCAGTATTTTGTAACTATACACATGTAATTACAATCTTTTGGTGTGGATGCAAGGTGGTCCGGCGACAACTTTGGCGTTGGCCTCCCCAGTTATTTTATCAGTTTTTCCTTGCACTATCTTGCACTGGCATGAGAAGCCAGGATGCACGCCATTCCTCCGAAGATCAGTTCAAATCAACGAAGGCGATGCTCGAATTGTGCACGGCAAGAGCTTGGAACCAAAGGATGCCTTATTATGGTACCAGGGGAAGGCAGCAAACCGTGTCACCAAGAACTTTGCATGCACTTATGCGGACAGCATCTGTAAGTGATGTAGCTTTCCAAACCATGTAGCCTCTCAAAGCCTTGCTGACGCACTCCAGAAGCAAACCATCACTTGAAAAATGATTGTGCCTGGGTCACAAGGGTTGCAGCTAACAGTCTCTCGCCATTGCACCAGCAACCATACCTGCACTTCCTGACCACAACCGCTTGGTCGTCATCAGTCTAATCGTGTCATTCATATGCATCTGTCCCCGTGCAAAGAACTACAGCACATCGTTTGTCCAAAGAACCTGTAACACAGTGAGATGTTAAGCAACACGCAACCGCAATCTTTTCCTCAACTGCTCAGCTGGGGGACAAAAGCCAAAAAACTCATTTGATTCATTTGATTAAATTCATCTCAACTAAAGAAACTGCGCCACCTGCGATGCTGCGAGCCGGGCCCGCTAAAAACCCGAAAACTTGTCGTGCAAGGACCTCACCGTTCGACCTACTCGCCCGGCTGGGCCAGGCAGGTCAATACAAATCCCATATCAGGAAGCCTTCTACCAGGGGAGTTGGCGACAAAGGCTTTTTGGGGCCGAGGCTGGCAGCACCTGATATAGTTTTGGAATCGAAACCACTAAGTTCTCTGCACCCCAAAATCTGACCAAAAAGCTCCTTGGATTACATGAAAGCTAATGTCCCACTACCACCCAACTTTGATTGATCTACACTTGAGATGTAAATGGTGCTCACGGTGGTCCAATTCACTTGAATTCACTGGAACCCCAACACTGCATGCACAGTTGGAAGGAAACCTATGCGAAGGCATACCAATCACATAGGAAAGCACCCTGCAGCTTTACCAAACACAGTTCTTCCAGCATTTAGATTCCACTTGGTCTGGCCCAAAGGACCTGTAGGTGCTGACCCACCGCGGTGACCCACCTTGAGCAAAAGGTCTGGCACCGTCTGCGATAGGGGCCCAGTCCCTGGCCGTGTTCTACGACAGGTCTTGAGTCCATAGAACGACATCTATGGCGATCTGCCAATCTGTCATTAGGGAACTGTTGCTTCATCTATGATCTGCCAATGATCTGCAAATCTATGTTATTTTCTGGGGATCGGGAAACTGCGATTTTCTGCCAAAAGATGCACGATATTGCACCATAAGCCATATTGCACATGTTGCAGCGTAAATCATGAGATCCTCAAATGATCCACATATATGATAAAGGACAAGCCCCCACAAGCCATCAAAGCAAGCATACCAAAGGAGGGCCCTCGCTCTGACTCTACCGTCTTTCCCACACCTCGCGAGCGGATCCACGCTAACATGCGGCAGCGCCACCTAAAGAAAACTCGTCGCAGAAATTCACAGAAATCTACATCGATCAATCGCAATCCACAGCACTAACCAGTTGAAAGCAACATGGGACAATTGAAGTGCTGGACAAATTCTTGATCAGTGGGGAAGATTCCCGAGATACCCACTCATACTGGAAGCTTACAAGAGGTCGCACCTGCAATAATCCATCCACACATGCAAAAATACATACAGTAATATAAAGAATCTTAATTCAACATTAAGATGATACAGTCAGTGATAAATAAAACATCACGCTAACGACAAGTTTTGGGCCTCAGCTCGCAATTCATCTCCATATTGTTGATATTATGTTCCTCCTGAAAGTCATTTTTCCCCCAATGTCCTCGGGCCACTCCCATGCTGCGAATCGCACCATGCAGCGGATCGCTGGAGGAGCGACCAGACTTCTGGACTGACCTTCAGCGAAGGAGGCGGAGGTGGACAGAGAAGGCTGAGAAAACGACGATGTTCGGCTGCCTCTTGGAATGCGAGTGACTCAAATGCATAGAACATGAGACACCCGGGTGACTTCCCCAAAGACATCTAAAAACAACCTGTGACTGTTCGAGGCTGAACATCTGGAAACCCTTGCAAACTTGCAGGTTCTTTCTGACATTCTTGAGCAAAACTGGGTCGGAGCTCAGGTAACCTTTGGACCACCGTTCGTGAAAACATCATCACGAGGTGCTTGGTTTTCATGGGGCCCTGAGACCCTGCATCATTTCCGTGCATGTACTGACTGGTCCGGCAGTCAGAATGACGAGTCTGGTCCGTCCGAATTCCCGAAACATCAAATACGCCCCAAGTCTTGGATCAGCACACTACTGTTGACATAAGAATGTCTATTATCAGGCAAGGTAAGGAAGAATCCTTTGAATTTCAAGTGAGCATTTTTGTGATTCAATTCCATTTCTCCAGATTGGTGAGATTTCTTCAGATTTCTTCCATCAACAGTTCGGAGTTATAGCCGAACAAAACGGGAATGTTCGGCTTGCACACATGTCCCATCATCAAACAACGATGAACACTGCATCAAAGCAGCCGTTGATGCTGCATCTGCGTGGTCCTTCTTCAAACCTGCGAGCACAAAACTTATGAGGACCTGATTCTCAGCGTTTGAAAGGTGGTCAGGTGCATTGCACAAGCACCCTCGTTCAATGGGTCATAGCCGTAATGGTACAGTAAATTCAGCCTTTTTTGTGTGGGTGCTTATAGACTTTGCGTGACCAACCACAGGCGATCTTGCACGGCACATGCTGCATGCAGTCCAATGCATGCAGTCGCTCATTTTACGCGGACGGCTCCAAGCCATTGGGCTAGGGTGGCGGGTGTGCAGCTCCAAATCAACTCCGATCTCATCTCAACGTTTCAATTCCAAAGCTGCCAGTGCACACCCGCCAGCCTGAACTTTAACAATCGATTGTTGGACCTCAAATGCCCCGGCCGCTGTCTCAGCTGGCCTAGGTCACACGTTTCAAGGCCTTCTCCATGTTGTAGACGTAGGTCGACATGACCTTGTCACTGGAAGACTCCCAGGGACCACACACCAGAGCAGTGGTCATATGGCTCTGCTAAACCCTGAAGAGGCACCAAACAATGAGCTGCTACGAGAGCAATTATGGGAGCATTCTGTTAAAGCGATTGGGGCAAGTGGTTTATGTTGTTGGCCTTCTCTATGCCCCAATTTACAGTAGAGGATTGATTCAGTATGATTTAGTCGTCGCCCTGAAGTTCAATACCAAGTGGGGACTATGAGGAATCACAAACATATCCAAATGACGTATTATTGCACTGGATCCGCAATACCTTCCCCTGGTGCCCGGTGCTGATTCCAATGTCCCGCCATCAGCTTGCAATGCAAAATGCCGCACCCCGAGTTTCACTGTCTTGAAGATAATGTTTGTTTGTGCCGAAAACAAATACAGACGGGACTCCTCCGTCCGACCTTCCCCAAACAGTCCATGTGTGGACTATATAATGTATATATGTTGTGATCTATATGTTCTAGATATACATATTAAAATATGTACACATACCCACAAAAATAAATACATACTTAACATGTATAAACAGGGTCCTTTTCATGGGGTAACTGTAACTTACTGTAACTCTGCCAGTCTACTCTACCATCCACCTGCCCATTTGGGTCGTCGTCTCTCCTGCTCCCGAGACACGTGATCCAGCGCCGACTGCGCCACCGAGATCTCGGGGAGTTCCTCCACAAAGTCCTGGAGCCGGCCCCGCAGGTCGACAGCCAACACCTGACGCCCAGCACCTCAAGTGACTCGTGACGCGCCACGAACGCCACGAGTCACGGAGAACACGGAGCGGGCGGTGATGATGCACTCGGAGCCGGCCAAAACGGAGAAGCGCGAGGTGGATTGCACAACACCACCAATTCGACCAAACCATAATAGCGAGCAAATTCACAAAAGCCGATAATAAACAACATCGGTCGATCGGCACTCCCGATGATTCTGAGTATGCGATTGCTTTCCGGACTTGTCTTGGATGGTCTCGGCTGAGTCTAGATTTGTGAGTTTGGCGTATGAGCTCTCCATAAGTTATATAAGCAAGTGCAAACTGGACATGAACAAACATCATGTCCCTTAAGTTTATATAAGCTCCGTTCAACTTTCACGTTGTCTGAGTGTTAGTTCGCTCTCATGAGCAGCTCGCCCATGGGAGAATAGGACCCACGCGGAAACGGATTTTTCGGTTGCGAGTGTCCCAGTTCCCGATCCCCCTCAAAAGATACCAACAAATCAAATGCACGCGATGCACGTGATATGTTGTCTTGGACATTGGGCCCCTAGGCCCTATGCGTCGTCACTGTGAACATAGAACAACGATGATTTTCAAGTCAGCCCACATCCATATATGACTGTTGCAAATTGTGTAAGGAATGTTTGCACATGCCACTCCAAGCATCATGCAACATCTGCCTTGTGAATGTTTGCTCCACCATCGCAACACGCCGAGTGACAGGCGTCCACCAACCAAATGGCTTCGCCAGGAATCCGCAGCGGCGCCTGGAATCCGCCGAATCAACGCCGACCGCTTGGGCGAACGCCGAAGCACCAGGCTTCCGATCGCGCTGAGACCAGGGTGGTGGGTCTTTTCTGGTGGCGGGGCGGAAAGAAAATGTTTCAAGCCAAGCCGTTAAGTATTGCAAACAGGTCCTAAACTGTGACAGTCCGGCACGTGGACTTGCCGGCATGCTGAGCACAAAAAAAGTAGTCAGTAGCCCGTAGTCCTCTTCAAGGAACGGTGTGGGAATGGTAAGGTTGGAATTCAAAAAACTGATTCTTTAAATCCATCAAAATCCATCTTTCAGGACCGGGCGGTCACAGCACCACGTCCATCACCACCGTGAACATCACTTTGGCCCAGCAAGTCACTGGTTGCCGGCCAGTCTGGTCTTTCAGCATGTCTCAATGATCATCCTATATTTGTTAAATGCGCCTCTTCAAAAGACTCATGAATAGCAACCCACCACATCCCACAACAGCTTTGGCAAACTAGATTCGTCTACCAGGAGATGTGATCATGACACCTTTCCCCATCTGGGTGTGTATTTTTTTACCGTAGTCGGGCCGGGAAGTTTGAATAGGTGGTATGATTCGAGGGTATGATTCGGGGTATGATTTGGAGGTATGATTCGAGGGTATGATTCGCAGATGATTCGCAGCTTTGAAGTTGTATCGTTGGATTAGCTGGACTTCCAGCAGTGGGCCCACTCTGCGCCGAGGCAGTAGGCAAGCAGCATCTGTTGGATGCTGGGCAGACTAGGCAAATGCACTCTTCCACCAAAGAGTCCAGTGGCTCTGTGCAGGCCCCACCAAAACAACCAGGATGTGGGATGGGTGGGAGACTGTGTGGAGGTGCGTGATTCGGGTATGAATCGGGCATGAATCGGGTGTGATTCGTGTGGCCATTAGATTCTGCAAAAGAAGGCAGCCCTTTGGCTCTTCTTCCCAAGGGAGAGCACATGCGAACATTATGAGTACCCCTGGGGTGTGAGCCTTTGCTCTTCCCACAAGAAGACACAAACAATTTTGGCCAAATTGAGTGCCCATGGATCACACAATTGCAAACGTCATGCACCATTGGCTCATGGACACCTACAAGGCACAAAGACCAACCAAAAACTTCACCTTAACACCTGGTTCTTACGTGTAACGTTTTGAGGGGTATGATTCGGGGGTATGATTCGGGGGTATGATTCGAGGTATGATTCGAGGGTATGAATCGCTCAAGTCGAACTTCCAACCACTACATCAGGAAGTACACGCCAAAAAAATACAAACCCATCTACCAGGAGCCGGCCTTTGCTTGCTTGGGGATTTTGGCGATGAGATCGTCAAACTTCGGGGAGGCAAACCTTGGTGGCCGCATTGCTTCATGCGGACCCCAACTACAGCTTCCCCTGGCAACACAAGCGTGACTGATCCAAACCCTTCTCCCAGTCAGACTTGCAGAAAAACCTCCCCTCACCTGCTCACGACAAGGTCTTGATGAATCACATGGCGGTGTGATGCTCGGTCCATGTCCAGCTTTAGCTCAAGAGGCTCGTTTGTGCCCACCACCAACCCCAAGGTCTGTTGCCAGGAAAGCCCTTCATCCGCCAGCTTTTCGGCAGCAAGCACCATCCGTAGAGCTGCATCCAGTGAGAGGTGGGGCACCGGGTCAAAGCGATTGATCACGGAGATGAGACCCTCTTCCAACTCAGGTCCTTGCATCCGTTTTGAAGAACAGGTCCTCAAATTCTTGAAAACTGGTATGTTTTTCTATGTTTGGCTTCCGGAGTCTGTGGAAACCTGTGGAACAAGCACACATGCATGCCGGTTTCACACTCCAGAATCAACAATCAAATACACACTATAGAGACTTTAGCATTTAGCTGCTTGTGCCCAAGGAGGTTTTCCTGGGTTCGTTGTTAATCCACCAACTGGAGGTTTTAACGTGTTCTCCAGTTACAGGGGCCCCCTGAAAGCACTGTCTTCCGCATTGCCCTGGTCAAGTTTGGACGAAATTCACACGGAGAACGTCTCGAGACCATGGGGTAGAAGCCACGTGGTTGAAGAAGAAATCACTATTATATATGATATATATAAATATATATACATTTTGGAGGCACAACCCTCTTCCAACTCAAATGCACACTGAGAATTGGTTGGGAGGATGTCTACTAGTGGGGGAAAGGCATGCAGGAGAGAGATTCACACCTAGCTCAGTCACTCAGTCGGGCAGCATCCATTCTGCGTAGAGTCTTCCTCCCACCTAGGAAAAAATACACACTAATCCTGGTTTCACTTCACCTGAGAATCAAAAAACATCAAAAAATCTGACAACTCCACCCCAGCCACCATCCCCTCTTTCCCTGCGACCTGCGAGCCGCACTGCCCGATCTAAGGCCTGTGGCCCTCCAAGGGTCGGGACTCCCCTTGGAAGGCGGGCGGCGGCCCTGCTGCGAAGGCGTGCACCTCCAGTGGGAGAGCGTTGGTCGCACGGAGCTTCATCCCCAGCAGCAGTGACACGGCACCACCCAAGCTGTGGCCACAAACCACCAAGCGTTGGTAGTCGCGTGCTTGAATGGCCTAAGAGGCAAAAAAGACAAGAAGTGAGGGTGAGTTTGGAGGAGTGTGTTTTGATGGTTGGTGGTTCTATTTCTGATGGTTGGCTAGTTGGTTGGAGTTTGTGGTTTATCTTTGGCACAAGGATGTCCCATATGATGAGCAATTGCTGTTGTGTAGCCTGCTTAGCCCCGACGTGGACTAAAACAGGGTGAGTGACGCTACGTGGACTGAAAATGATCCGACGCGACGGATGGTCCAAAGAAGGAACATATTACTATTTTTGCCACACATGCACAGGGAGCACCCCAAAAAGGGGTCTGCGATGGGCAATGGTTTCATGCCCTGTGATCATGTAGATCATATGCTCATGTCAAAACACGAGTGCTTTTCTTTACAAATGCAACGAGCAGAAAGGTCATTCCTGGGTAAAAGGGCATTGAGGGCTTGTAATACAACTGATCGCTGGGTATGCCTGCAAATGCAAATACAATCCCTGCATACATCCCAGCGATCCATCGGAGCTAACGACCAAGGGAGGGGGGATGCTTTTTTTTCAAAAAAGAACGACTGTTCCGAGCCACACTCGTTCCGACCAGGCATGGATCTTGAAAACACTCGGTTCGTACAGACAATAGTAGGGTTTCGGGAGATCATGTCCCATGCCAGCAGGAGAGAGTGGAGCAGTTCATGTCATGTAGCTTTTGCCACTTCGGACTCAGCTTCATCCCAAACTGCAGAAACAGCTCCGGCCACGCCCTCATGCGCGTAGCCATGCAAGAATTCACAAGTGGCGCAGGCCAAATCTGTCGCAATGTCATCAATGTTTGCAGACCCACGGATGGACAAAATCAGTTCCTAAGCGGATCGAATCAACACCAAAGCACAAACTGTCCAAACATGTTGGTATAGAAAGTATGGGACATGTTGGGAAACCAAACATGAAAACATGTGGTTTACCTACTAACGTAGGGATGACATTGTCCACCTTGTAGTTCGTCGATCCGGCAAAGGTACATGGACTCTATCACTCTATATGCATGAGTTTTCCAAAAACATCCAAAAACTACGAGAGTGGGCTACTACTGGATGGGGGACTTACCTGTACAACAAGTTCCTTACATGCATCGTTTCAGGTAAGGCTCGTCTCCGTCCTCCATCAGGATCCACCATGGCTTGAAGCGCTCCAGTGCGCTCTTGGGCTCTTCGCTCTCCTCGCGTCAACGCTCGAAGACTGGTTCCTCCGACAGAGTTGCTTGGTGTGGCCTGGCCTTAACACAAGATCCAAATTCAAGTGTTGATTTCCCATGCCTTCTTTTCTGAAACACAGTTCCCCTTCAACCATGTCTCCATCCAGTGTATTGGATCTCTGTTAGGCGGTGCATGTCATCCGCTGACATGTAGGCGTATAACGTGAATAAGTACATCCTCACTGGCATGTGCCCTTGGGCTCTCAAGGTGACTCCAACAAGATCCAACAAGGGCCTCCAAAGCAGGTGACACCACTCCACTTGTGGCTGGTCCACATTCCCAGGTCCTTCCTGCGAATCGAACGCCGCACGCCGCTCGGTCGCTCCTTCCGGGAGTCCCCCAAGGTCCCGTAAGCCAACATCCGCTCGACGGGCACCTCCAAGTACCGTGCAGCCGCCACTCGGTCGCGGTCAGGACCGGCCGATGGCCAAGCATCCTTGAACTGCAAGAGACCCACCAAGGCCAACACATTGGCCTAAGAAGATTGCGGACGGGAGGGGCTGAACAAGTGGTGGTTCCTTCTATTGGGTGGAGAGCTGGTAGTCGTCAGTATTTGCTGTCAGGAGATGTCAGGAGTAGGGTTCCACATCACTGTTTCATCTTCTTCATCAGCAAACTCGTGTTCTAAATCATTTTGACTTGAATACACTGCAGCAGCCCGTGTCAACATCATTCATGGTAATTTGCTCTGTCTGGGTATTGTGTTCCATCGCATCTTCCTACCTGTACAACTTTAGAAAACAGTATCTTGAAGTCTTGAAACAGCCTAAACTGAAGGATTCGCTGCCCTAACAAGACTTGGTTGTGGCTGAGGAATACAAGTGCCATCCGCCGAACTCACTCAAGTCACTAGTGTGTTCCTTGTATGTCTATATATATATGTCACCTAAATCTTTGGAGCAATTGGTAGCCCCACAGAGTCTTACATCTCTTTCGATAACTTTAACTCCGGCCCTCCCAAAGAAACTCAGAACCATCAAAAGACACTCACATGTTTGTCTCGCACAAAGAACCTTTGGCTATCCAAGTTCGGCACCCCAGGTTTTCCGGGGTCCCTATTTACGGTCACGTTCCACCTCTCTTGGAAGGAGCCCCACAACCCCCTCCCCTCTCTGAGCGTCGCCGTAGGAGGCCACGGCCAGTTTGGTGAGGCGATAGGCTTCTGTGAGCTGTGGAAGGTCGGAGACCAAAGGCACCTGGAGACGGGCAAACGCCGGCAGCATCGCGCAGCAAGGCACCGAAAAAAGGCAGCCTGGGGATCCATGAAGTGATGGTAAAACAGGGTCAAACTATGGTGAAACCCTAGTTCGTTTGAGGCCCGGGTTTTGTGAGGTTGGGGGCGTTGAGAAGATTAGTCGAAGGGTTCTGGTATAGGGCATGCCAAGGTTGGATGGCTGGTGCGTGGATCAGCTTTGGAAACTGGTGCCAAATTCCTGTCCATGTTAGTGTAGGTATATTAAGTATACTCTGAGCACTCTATCCGGATGGTCGACTGTTTGGATGATGAGGACCCTGTGTGTGTGAGTGTGCGTATGGGAAACCCACTGCTATAGAAAAAAAACAAGCCCATTCAAGAGCCATCAATTGGAACACAAGGTGATACCATGAATAAACAATATTGAACGCACACACATATATATATAAACATACTAGACATACAGTAAATAAATAAATAAAAAAAAATATATATTAATATACTGAGTGACGTTGTGTTGGGGATTTGCCTGAGCATGCCTGGGTTATTTGAAAAAGTATTGATGGCTGTCTTAGTGGTTCCCTGGTCCATCATGCTCACATGGTCCGTCACCTGCTCCACTGGGAGGTCAAAGCCAGCAGATTGCAGGCTCTTCAAACGCCCCAGGGCGAACAAATGAAGAAGAAGTCGTCCTTGGACACCCCGATCGATGTGAAGCAAAAGGCACAAAACACGTTTTCTGTCAGTGGTGACTTGTTTCGAACACCCACACTGCACAAAGTGTCACCATTGGACTACATGTGGATCTCCGTTGGACACCCCTTGGGTGGGTGGTTGAGGTGAAACTAAGGCAAACGCTCAAATTCTATGCAACGATGTGCAATCTCATTGCGTACTAAGGTATCAAAAGCTAAATTCATGACCAACGCACATTTTTCCACTACTCATGACCGCAGTTGTTAGGTTTCAACACACCCGTTATGGAGAGCAGGCAGTTGTGACAGTGCGCTTTTTGGCCCATTTGCTATGACAAATGGACTAATTATATATTTCAAATAACATATATTCAACTCTACATGCATTCTAATTCAATGTTCTTTCAAATTCAATATTAATTCAGATCTATCTAAAAGAAACAATTCCCATCCAATTTGTATAAGTCCATTCAAACCTAATTTCAGTTTGTTAAACTTGGATTTAGAAACAATGTTTATCATAAATTATTTCTTGTTTAATTCAATTTTTATTCTTGCTCAAACCTAATTTAATTCCAGAGAGCAGGTGTTGCTGGGGGTGTGGGTTTAAGACAACATGCTATAAAATAAGGTGCTTTACAGTGTTTTCTTGCCCTGGGAGTGCTGGGAACTAGGTCAAGGCACTGCTTTGAGTAGACAAATAGACTTGTTCAAGTAATATCTGGAATAATCATGTATATCAACAAAGCTTTATATAAAAGTTTCAATGTCAAAAGTTTTCCTCTACATCTCTGGAATGATCGCTTCTATAACAAAATAACTAAAAGCTGCTAATTCAAGAGTTTTCCTCTTGATCTCTGGAAATTGTTCTTTTTCATTAAAACCTATATTTGAAAGCCTTTTTTGTTCAAAAGCTTTCCTGTATACAAATCGCTGTGAATAATCATATCAATATTTCAAAAACATGCATACAAGTACCTATATTAAAACTTACCTTTTTGTTTCTGAGAATAATCATTTCTATATTAAATACGCCTTCTACATTGTATGTAAGTGTTTATTCCAAAAGCTGTTCCCTAGATTTCTTGGGTTGACCACTTCTATATTCAAGCCTAATATGAAGGCTCGCATTTCAAAAGCTGTCCCCCAGATGTTTGGGAATGATCATTTCAGCATCATGTGTTTAAAGAATATATAAGAAAGGCTTCCATGTCATGGAACCAATATAACAATGCCGTAAGTTTGTCACACAAAACATGGGAGTTTAGTTAGTCTTCACGACACTAGCTGCAACAACAGGCCCAACCTCCATCTGGATGGCAGCGGTTGAACAACAACACTGAACCACAATATACTTGTTTCTGAGCCGAAAGAGGTTACTGTGTTAAGCAAGATGTTTGCTGTGTGTAAGCAAAGGGAGATTTACGGTCTTCTGACAACAGCCACACATACCATGAGTGCTTCTGGAAACAGCGGTGCGTCGTCTGCGGACTTGGATATGTCCACAATGCAGTTTCGTGGCAATCCCAAAGACGGTTTTTTCGGATGCCCTCGACAAAGTCGTGATGAACAGGGTTATGGCTGGAGACGAACCAAGCAATCCGTTCCATGTCATGTCCGACAATTTGCGGGCAGACCCCAAGAATGACAAAACATGATGCTTGGCAAGTCTTGGTGACTCAAAAGGTTGTCAACCAAAAGCACAAAATGAAATGCATTGGCCCAAGATGACCATCCACCCTAGTTCTCAAGTCCTTACCAGGTTGCATTCTTCTCTACAGCCTCTTGCAAGACCAGGGTAGTAGTACCAAAATAATATAGTTCCTTCTATTCTTTATGCTAGCGTCAAAAAGCAACAGAGCCTCAGTCGCGTTGGCCCAGGATGACCCGCCCACGGATCAGCTTTCAAGTATTCTTATACAATCTGATCCGTGGCTCCCAAGGCTTTTCTGCTTGACAAAACTCCCAAGGTCTTCCCAGACCACGCTCGTAGTACCAAGAGCATATAGCTTCTTCTATCTTCATTATATACTATACATGGAGGCCGATCCAATCACCCTAATGTTCTCCAAATTTCATGCATTGATTCGGGAAAGGAGATTCGCTTTTGTGGTTGAGACTGGTTTTGAGGATAGCTCCTAGTAACTCAGAAGTGTGTAGTAGGCAGTATGTGGAGAGGACCATGCTCCTCACATCGACTGTCCATTTCGTGAGGTCCATGGCAATGCGGTCGAGTCACCGGATCTCGCGCCGGACGCGTCCTCCGTGAGCTGCTCGGCCAGCTCGCTTTGCAAGAGGCCCCAAACCTAACGCGGATTTGGAGAGGTTTGGCACCACGGGCCCCAAGGCCAGGTGGAAAACCCGGGCAGCTTTGGGGCCATGGAAAACTTGATGCATGGAAGATTGGTCTGCAGTGTGGGTATTGAAGGCAAGCGCCGTGTCTGGGCATGGTAGGCATAGTCTACGTGATGAAAGTCCAACAAGGGTCTTGGGAGTATCTGTGACTGCCGATTCATGAGGAAGTTGGGCGTATCTCAGGGCAATACCTCAATGATCTTATGAAATCATTGCTCTAAATATTGATTTCCCAATTGCACACACAGCATACCAAAAGAGTCGAGTCTACACCTCCCATTGCCGGCATCACGGCAGACCGGCTCCGCGCGCCTGGGACACCGTCTCCGCGAGATTCCCCAGCGCCGGGTCCACGCGCTGCAAGACGCCGATGACTTGCTGCAAGCTCGGTTGCCTCGGAGCCCAACGAGAACCCCGGCCTTGGACCCCAATAGGCGAGGGATGGCTAGGGAGGGATTCTTCGAGGGCTCAACCCAAAGGATTTGGAGGGTTTTTGCATGCTTGAAGTGCCTATGTCCGATCAAATGATCTCTCCATGTCTCTCCCAACATGTGCCAACATGCCCACTGAGAAGATCTCAGAAGCTAGTTGGGTCCTCTGATGGATCCTCCTCCACCTTATTTTATCCTCCACCACGTTCGATCATCAGGGGGTTCATTCAAGAACTCCACACCATTTGCATTTAATATATCCTAACATCACCCAATTGGTGGGGTTTTTGCTCGTTTACTTTCAAAGATCGATGTGAGATCTTGCAGCAACATGATGCCATTCATCCGGATAGCCAGTGCCACCTACGTCTGCCACGTGGAACAAGATACAGTGAGGTCCAACCAACAAATCGGAGCAACTTCACCCACCCACCGGTCGCTCTTTGGCCCCCAAAAACAACACCTCCTGGTCCTGGGAGGTGGACGACGGTGAGAGACACCCACTGCGCGTGAAACCCGGCTGCAACGGAAGCTTGAGGCGCTCCAAGAACTGCCTTCAGCGGGCCCAGACCGGAGGGTGAGGTCCGCGAAGGACCGGAGAATGCATGAGAATGGCCCGGGCGAGGTCGTGGATGAGGGTTTAGCTAGAAGCTACTAGTAACATTGTTATTTCATATCTATTCCGTACATATATATATATATATATCTATTTCAGCTCTATCTCCTTTTCCTCTGAACATCGGGGTAGCTAACATCGGGGTGGCCTAGCATCCTGTGAAACAAGGCACCTTACTAGTAACAAGAAGCTACTAGTAACAAGGGCATTACGCACCTCCAGCCTTCCTCAAGCCCTTGCTCCTCTTTTGCGTGGCATTCAGTTTCGTCACATGAACGCATCAAAACTCCAAGAAAGCCTCCCTCTAGAGTCAGCTCCTAAGAAATCCATGACGTTCCCACCTCCAACTGTCCGAATCCTCCATCCTGCTCCAGCCTGGAACTCACCTTTCTCCGCCTCCATAAGGCCCCTGCCGCCAGCCCCAGCACCATGAATCCGGCCACCGAGATGGCGGGTCGCACTGGTGGAAGAACGGCCTCCCGCTGCAGCCGGCCTCGGAAAGACGGCTCGCTCGACATGGTGATCGTGGGAGTGAAGGTCAGGATTGGCAAGAAGCACCAACAGAGGTCGAAGGACCCTAGAGACTATCCATGACTATTTTGATAGGTATTGCAGGATTTAGGGTCCTATTTAGGCTCACTTCACCTCCCTTGGCAAGGCTTCTATTTTGGGGGGGATCCTTCGCACCACCTTCGCCAAAAAAACACAAAACACAGAGGACAAAATCAGGGACAGGCTTTCAAAATCGCTGCTTGAACGGATTCCAATGGCAAGCGGATATTTAAAACACATTAAAAACAACATTGCCAGGATAGGCGCAACATATGGAGAACAACATGACAAGGGGTGCAGCCACACTGCAAACGTTGAACTTGAAAGAACTGGGTCCACATCTGCCAAAGGCATATATGGCATATTGTTAGGACCCGCAAGTGCAAGTTCATAAGCTTTCTGCCAAACTTTGAAACATCCACCACTTCCCGATATCAAAGAAAGACTGAATGGGGATGTCCTAAGACTCAGTCTGAGTGACTCAAAGCAGTGGCACACTCCCAAGACCTGGCGCACTCCCAAGACTCCCTGGCGACCACTCCGAACTGGCCAAAGTACTGATGCTTCGCACAGGCGCGCGCCCAGCACATGCCAGTCCAGCCACATAGGTCGGGACGAGGCACGGACCCATCGGTCGCCCCATGGGAGTGGGCGTCCGGTGGAAAGGGCCCGGCTTGATGTCGAACGAATTAAGTTGGTATGGAAAACGGGTCTATATATACTATGTTCTGTTTGATGGTAATTCAATGCATTTTTGCTCATTTTTGGAAACCCTTGGAGAGAAGATGGTCATTTCAGATGTCATTTCATGTCATCCTTTTCTTGTGTTTGCCAAGGGGCAAAACCCCGCTGGAAGGTGTCGGAATTCACTTTTGGCCAGCCGTGAATGATTCGGTCGGTTTGTCCATGTGTCGGTATTAGTTATCCTCTTATAAGCTCTTTGCAAGCATTGTGCCCACCCAACATGCTGTTGATGTCACCCAGACTACGCATGCTTTCGAGTCAACAAAGAGGGCCGGATTGCCTTTCAAATGCAATCCTCTCTAGCCAAGGGTGGGCTGCGGGATCACCAAAGGACGGCGGCTGCAAGGCTTCTGCTGGTGCGTGGGAATGGCCCCGGAGCGCCTGGCAGCAAAGGGCACGCGCCCCATTGAAGGAGAACCTGCGGCAGCCATGGGTGTTTTCGAAGCCAAACAACAAACTGAGAGAGATAGATGAAACTGGTGTTCGATGAAATGCTGCCTGGAACCTCAAGAAGAACTGCACCAAAACCAAAGCAGCACATGATACTATTGGTGAAAGAAAAGCTGCACCGTGTCGTAGTTGTCAAGACCATCAAAACACTGTGAACCAATAATTACAGTATCATACAGTATCAGTATAAGGTGGTGACAAAAATATACATTCTCTATTTGCTGGGAAGGCTTGCACCCGCAAGAAAGTAATTGAATTGCTCAAAACAAGTTCGTCGTCTTTGGCGAGGCGCAACTGTTGCAAGTGCCATGTGTTCTTTCGACGGTCACAGCTTGCAGGCTGACAGCTGCTCCGCCAGCCATGCCTCCACCAAGGAGAATGAGTCTCTCACATCAGTATAGAAGCTTCCTGAAGCCAGAGGAGATGAAACCAAGATGTAGGTAAAGTCAGGTGGTGTCCGGCAACACCATCTGATCATGTACATGCTGCTTGCAGCTGGTGCGTCGGTTCATGAAACGAACATCGTTCCTCTCTTCCACGTCCGTCCAAAACGACAATAAGACAATAAGTCGTCCGCTTTCATCGTGTGGGTGAAACGTTCCTCGCTGCGACGTTGAGTGCATCGGATCCACCGAGGGAATCGGACCAGCACGAGCCGGGACAACCGGGCACGACCGGAGAGTCGACCGGAGAGTCGCTGTGGCCCAAGCGCTTCTGGTGGAGAATGGAGCCAACTCACTCCCCAGCGTCCATACCCAGCGTCACTACATAATTTATATAACTATCCAACTCTATCTAACACTGAAACCCGAAGACTATTCAACCATCGCCTATGGCAGCATCTGCTGCTCACATCAGTGTTTGCTTGTTTCTACTCTTCCGTGGCAGCCCAGCAAAAGCTCCCACCTCGAGCGGCTAACTCTAAGGGCGCCTGAAAAAAGGAGCTGTCGGGAGGAATGAGGGCGCGACACTCAGGTGGAAGTGAGTCGAACACCAGAGCCACAACACGATCGTATAAATATAAACATAATATATATATATATAAACTAAGTGGCATATCAAATGTTAAGTATGAAATAAACACCGTTAATGTGAATAAACAGTTATTTGATGTTGTTTGTAAGATTGACCCACTTGAGGACAAGAACCCTATATTTGACATGAAACATCCTGAAACTCAGTCTGGTTGGTGGCGTCAGCTCACGAACGAACAATATGAGTCAGTGGGTTCAATCAATGATTCATTCCAAGTAAAGGTTGAACATATACAAACATTATCTGAACACACCATCCAGCACTTCTAATCGCATCGGACCTTGCACTCCTGCCCCAGTGCCACACGTAGCGTGGAGTGGAAGTGGGCAATCGCATAGTCGGACAGGGTTCAGGGTTCATGATTCATGAGACCGTGACCAGGTATACATGTCATGCTGAACAGGACTGTTTGGCAAAAAACACATAATATAACATCACATAACCAAATCCAGTGAACATCAAAAAGTAACATGTTGAAAACGCCGACATCTCCTCGTTCTACATATGAATAACCAGCCGGCGCCCAAATACCTTTTGTGCAACATAAGGTCCTGCCCCTGCTGCGGAATTTCGCTGTGTGTTGACTTTTGATGGATATGTTCGTCCATGTTGTATTAGGATCTCTCCTGAATTCTCCTCATTCTACTCACAATATTTAATGCATGGAGTTGGAGATGCTTTGTTGGCCCATGCCTCGCCAAAGGCGTTGGTGGCGTTGGGGTCCGCTTGGTGCCTCAGTCACCGTTGGGGTCCGCTCCGCCTCCTTCGCGGGTTTGTCTGTCATGATCGCCCCCAAGAGTGCTACACGGGGTCTTCATACTATACTTGTCATTGGTGGACATGCAATCAAACACACATCACAGCTCCAGGGCTTCGAAAGAAACAACTGCTGCTCATCACGGAGGCTTTGGGGAAGGCACGCCATGTCCGGTGCCGAAGATGCTTGTTACATGTTGTTACACAGAACCCATCAGCGACTTGGCCCTCTGTCCGGGCCTCTGCCCTAGCCTGCACATACCTCTGATGGCATGGTGGACACATCTAACATAGCATTTTCTTTGCACCAAGCGATGGTTGAAACAAAGGCTTCCTAATCTTTCGTTTCTTTCGTAGTTCCTCTGCATGGAACTTCGAGAAGTTTGCAGAGTTAAACAGTTCAACAAAGGGTCCATGTTGGTCTGGTACAGTTGCTGTTTCAAAAATCGGACCCCCGCCAACAACCACCCTCTTTCTTGTTTCATCCAGGAGGGTGTCCCAAACAAATGCCACCTTGTTGGAACACCAAACACCGGTCTTGTTGGGGTGTGGCCACGTTCTCTCAAACACACCGCCCGAGCGCTGGCTATCACACTTGGTCTTGGACCTCAAGAGGAGTGCAACAACACCTGTGCAGCGTTCGCGTGGACCCGACACCAGGTGGGTATGCCTCTGCATGTGCTGCCTCAAGACCCCCCAAAAAACAACTAAAAAGACTACCTTAATTTAGATTTAGACTCAAACTTCCCCCTTCTTAAGCTGGTGTTAAAAGCTTGAAACACTAAGGAGACATGAATCATTCACATGAATCATTCTGATGTTGTTTACCAGCTCGTCTGCGAGATTTGAACGAAATCGGTTCTCCAAATCATTCCAAATTGTCCACAAAATCATCTGAAATCATCTGAACATCCCAAGCCAAATAGCTGTTTCGAGTGGTGGATCTACGCCTGGAGACCTTGTTCGGCATGCGCATACCTATGGCAAAACCCTAGGGTCTCCCGCTCGATTCCAAAAACCCCGTGTAGCGAGCGCCTGGGTCTCCTCTCCGAACGCCGTCGTGCAAAGGAGTATGGCCCTGCAGCAAAGGTCGTCTTCCAACATTTGAGGAGGGTAAGAGTGACCACGTGGTGGTACAGGAATGTTATACATTCCGGTAGGTGCCTGTTACAGTAGTTCCACTCCCCAGTGCCCCGTAGGGGTCCAACCACTTGGGAACTGAAGTGCAGTGCCCAAAAGGCCAGTGAGGTTGTCCAAGTATGAATGGGTGTTCAATGATGTTCAATTTATTAATCTTGGCTTGCACATTGCTTCTGGCCCTTGGAAAAATTCGTTGTAGCGGACCATCCACCCGCACCTCGGCATCATTCCGGCGCTGACCCACATCGGCCCGCGCGTCGAGCAAGAGCTCCACCATCTGGCACCGGTCCAGTGCAACGGACTGTGACTCCTCTGACCGTCCTAGCCGCACCATCTCCCCGGTGCCCTGCGCTAGGGCCGGGCTACGTCATCATCCACATCAGATCACAACGAGGGTGGAGTCAAGTTGGTTAAAATCTGTCTCTATCTGCCATAAGTCCTTGCTGCTCAAGCTCTTAAATTGCATGTTGGGGATCAGAAATCTGCATCTACCCAACGTCCCGCCCCGCCACCGGTCCCGCCACCCGGCGGGTGGCCCTCCTGGTGGCGATCCGACGCCGAAACCAAGTTGGAGGACAAGGCCAGCTGCAAGGGGAACCTGCGTCACCCAAACACCACCGGAACCGGCCATACCGGGGCACGGCCACTGACCCAGTGGAAAATGGGTCACGAACCAATGATGAAACTTGGAAAACATGGATACTTGTACCCATTTTCTGAGGTTACGAACTGAGGGTCCTGGTATAAATAAATGGTTTGCATCAAAAAGGGCACGCAGTATAACTAACGATACTTTTCACATCACACTTTGATCGACCTGTGATAAGCACGTGATAACGAATAACACTGGGTTTCTCTAAGGCGTAGATGACCAAAACACCCAAACTACTTGGAATGGTGCGCTGCCGTAATGATCTTCAAACACCAAAGCCCCTTGGCATTTTGTCGCTGACAAACTTGGACAACTGCCAATGGGTAGTTACAATGCCATGGTTGGCTTGGCAGGCGTACGACTAGTGTATGGTGGTATCTCCACCTCACCTGGATCGCTCACCGCTTCTGACCAAAGCCTCTGCATGCCCTTACTAGAAGATCCAACATCTTGTCTCCCTATGTCTCCACCATGTAAGTCATGCTCACCACCATCCGTTCCACCACCCACTTGGACGAACCGGCTAGCGCTAAGCGGTGAAACGACATGAAACACGTCGAAGACTGACCCTTTATTGTGAGCTGCAGTGCGGTGGCGTTCCCATCCACAGGCTGCGCCACCAAATCCGTTTGGAATATAGTCGTTTGAAGGTGAGCTGTGGACACTGAGCTGTTTCAGCATGTGGCATGCATGGAATGATCCAAATGAGGCCTTCAGACAGGGAAAAGTCGATTCCAGTGGTTCTAGGGCTCGTCGAATCTGACAATGCAACGTGTGAGTGGGTCTCAACACGCGAATCCAGGAGTTCTAGGTATACTTCGTCTGTGGCTATGGTACGTAGTAAAGTAAAGTATATATATTATATATAAATACTAAAACAATAATATACACCAGATTATGCCAGTATACCAGGAGACCCTAAAGCCTGAAGGGGTGCCAATTGGTGTCCATTAACCACTCCCTGACAGTAGGGTCCAAAATTCCAAACAACCCTTTTGGATCCTTTTGAGTTGTTTTTCTCTCGCTCGCTCCGAAGCTCCCGCTCAATGGGCGTCCCGGCTCTCCGTGGTCCAGGGCCAGGCAGCGGTCGTTGGGCTCGGCCTGGGACGTTCTTGGCTCGGTGGATGGCCTCACTCTGATAGGGCTTGGTGTTTTAATGCTTTGTTTTTCTCTGAAACCCAGCGAATTCGATGTTCCTACCGTGGATGGTGGACATTGGTACTGTACTGTACCTTTGTGGGATCTGCAAATCCCTGTCCTCTGATTGGGGTAGAATGGACCGGCAAGAGGGAACATTGGGGACGCATTATATCTATATATATATATATCAAACACTCAGTGGGATCACCAACAGAACCATGGACAATGATGCAGGAGTCTTGACATCCTATGGGTGTTGCCATCATAGATGCAGAACTTCTAGATTCTAAAGCCTAGGAATTGATAGAATGGTTTCCTAATGTTTCCAGGACTCGATCCATCGAACGGCTCCTCATGTGGGACCCCGGGGCCTCTCGTGGTGTCGACTCGACAGCATTTGGGCCCGAGCGGAGTTCTCTAGAAGAAGCCGTGCAGCATCACAGTTGCCCTGAAGGCATTCTCATGCAAATCCCAGAGTCTTGTTGGCTCAACTTGACAACAGGATGAAGACCAAAGAAAAAGAGGAAGCCAAAAGAAACCCCTGTCCATTCTTTTTCATAGCAGTGTGAGTGTACGGCTGTGTACGCCCCTTGGCTGTTGAATCAACAAGGAGGATTGCCGGACAAACCGGCCCCTCTTGAATTGGGCTGTGTCTCAACCAAGGTGTTGTTTGGGCTTCTTAAACTGCCTCCTTGCTCACAGAAAAATTGCGGCGCAATTCAAGCGCGGCATCCTTTTGAGGCGAGAATCCATTTGAGGCGACATAATACTTCGCAAAGCTCACTGGAAACATATGGAAGCGGGCAATCTTTGGCCCTGTCCATGTTCAATGACAAAATGACAGCTTCACTGTGTCAAAGGAGAGTCCCATAGGAGAGTCCGAAAGAGCTAGAGATATGTCGTCAGCACATCAACCGCTGCAGCCCAAAGCTTTGAATCTGGCTGTAGGTGTTCGAAGTGCGCTTCGTCGGGCACTTCTTTCCTAAAACCAACCGTCCATGCAGAACCATGGCCGTCAAACAGCACTGCGCTATATTTTCATAAACCAATGTCCTACACTAAGGCTGTAAACACCGGACAACCAGCAATCGTCGACTGGCAGGTGAATTCATAAGGTACCCCCTACATGCTTTCGTGACTATTTCTGGACTGTCTGTTGGAGGCACAGGGTGCTAAGAGATAGCCCAACCTGTCGAAAGCAATGATCGCCATGATCGCAACGGTGTCATGGTTGTCCACGGTTTTTTCATGTTTTTTTCACTAGAAACCAGTTTTCTCAACAGCGCCACCACCCAGTGTGCACAACATCTTCAGCAATTTCTGTGATGACAAATGCTAAATACACTGACCTCCGCAAGCACACTTGGCACACGTCACATGAGAATTGTCATTACCAACCTTGGGTGTGCCCCAAATAAATAAATACTGCCTACCCTGAATTGTTCGGAACATGGTGGGACCCAAATCCTCTTCAGCCGAACTTCAACATGCACGAAAATCCGTGCTCCTCGTCCCGCTGGACACAGGCGCTGTGAAAGGCTCTGCTCTGCTCTGAGGGCACATGGAGATCATGGAGTCCGTGGATCAACACCACAGTCAACGGATCCGTGTCACGGACCGTGGGGATCTGCACCCTCTGAAGCAGCTGCATTGGATCACTGTTCGCCGAGCGCACCTGGAGCGCCGCAGCGGTTTTCTCAAGGAGGCAGTTGAAAGCCGTGGGGTTTGGAACGGAATGATGCTTTGACAAATTCGGCAGCTGCTCTATTCTATCCAAGAGATTCATCCCCTCCAATTTGCCATCTTGTGAATCTGCTACTTAATGTATCATAGTTATAGTGTAATATATATATATATATATACACGAATCATTTTCTTGAAATCTCTTCAATCTGGGAGGCTTCAAACCCTTGGTCTTGCATGCTCTCACTTGAAAGCAGAGAAGGACACTTGCAACTTTCAACACTCATTGGGGCAAAAACCACAGAACCCATTGAGATGACCTTTTAAAATCTCTTGAATGAGCTGGAACAAACTTGCATCTTCCCTATTCTTCCCTCATCCCATGTCGCCCCCCCTCTCCTTTTGCCTCGGCATCCTCCTTGGGCCCACTCAAAAGGTCCATCAAGCCACCGCCCATCGTGGGGCGCTTCGGCAAGGTCGTCCCCAGGAAGTCGCGCACCGCGCCGTTGCCCAGGTCGGCATCATAGGCGCCGAGCAAATCGAGGACACCAGCTTGGGAGATCACCACGCGCGGATGCACCTCCTGAGAGTGAGATTTGGTCTTGGAGGTCTTGGCTTGCTGAATTGTGAATTCTTAGATGCTCGGAGCATCGCAATTGATGATTGACTCACTGATCGTGCCGCTGTTGCAAACCCATTGAAATAGTGTTCCTCACCCCTAGCCGCCGCCCTCCGCCATTCGGAGTGATTCAACTCTACTGAAATAGTTGCTCTATATACACACCAGGGGAAAACTCCATGAAACAACAGGCGCAAGCGACGAACTGTGAATACTTGTAGGAACAAGCACCAAGGAGCGCGAGAAAAAAGAACACAAACAAACTAATTATGAACATTCACAAACACACATCTAGTACAACAAAAGAGGCTCTCAAAGAACCTAGGCCTTATGTCGACCGTTCAATCAACTTCCATCTGTTTACCTATCTGTCTATTTATCCATTATCTATCTATCGATCTATCTATCTATCTATCGATCGATGCCTATCGATCGATCCATCCATCGCGATCTATCTACAGCGATCTATCCACGCATCAATCTGTATACATTCCTTCTCCCAGAATCTGCAAGCGTCTTGCTTGAAGACTTCCTCATCCAACAGGCGCTGCAGCCCAAGCCATGTGGCCAAATGCCCGCCAGCGGAATGGCCGACCACAGCAACTGGCAACTGGTTCACTTGCAGCTCACTGGCTTCAGAGCTCCTCAGCCAGTTCCTTGGATTTCTGAATTAAGGGCTCACGCACTCAAACTCACCCATGGCCAGCTGGAAAACTTCCAGTCAAATTTGCACAAATATGCGCAAACATGAACATATGTTTCTGTACACCACTTGTCTTCCCGTGCTGCGTTCTTCATGATGTTGAATGAATCGATTTTGCATATACTGCAAGCCCTATAATTAGGGTTGGGCCCTGGACAGCCAAATCAGTGGTTTGGGATGGTTTTGGGCCTACTTTCTATAGATGACTGGGTGGACAATGATGGAGATATGATGGGAAGAAGCAACAACTCACCTGAGCCATGGCCAAAACCTGGTAGAAACTATTATTATTCGACTCTGGATGGTTGCACTCCAAACCATCCTTTCGGGGGTCCCATGGTCATTTCGCTACGACCTGAACAGCCTAAGATTCAACGCACGGGTGACGTCCTCCAAGGTCTCAGGGTAACCACCACCATCGCCCACCTGAAGGATGGAGCCAGGTGTGAAAGCATGTTTATGTTTTTGTCGGCCCCGCCATGATTCATTGGCTTACTGCATGTGGTTCAACGGAAACTTGACCATGTTACAATGACCGTAGCTATATATGATATTTTTTGCTGTAACTAAGAGAACCAGTAGTGCTGGGATATAGGGATTGTGCTACCTGGTGTTAGCCGAGGGTGTCAAAAGCAAGCCCAGAAGCGCCCTTGGGTCTTGTGGGTTGTACTCCGGTAAGCTGCCCCTCTTGGGAAACCAAACCCTAGCTTGGATGTTGGAAGGCTTGAGCAAGTGACTCCTTTTGGAAGCAGGTAAGTGCACAAGTGATTGATGCCCAGTGCGCAAGTGATGTCCAGTGCCCAGTGCGCCAGTGATTGCCTGGCCCCTTGGAGACGTCAGTTTCGACTCCAGTCTTCCACAAACTGGTTCCTCAAAACGCCTCCGCACCCACGCGATGCTTCACCAAGAAGCTGAGCGATAGTCGACGTTCCACACCGCGAGTCCGCGGTCGACGAGATCCTTCGCCAGGTCCACCATCAAGCGCCGATCGAAGGCACTTTTCCAAAAGCCGCCGTGGATCAGCATCACCACACCACGAGGATCTCAGAGATTCTGCTCATTTTTGGGTGGGACGGGACGGATTGGGAAGAATATGGGGATAAATAATCGCAAAAACATCGCAGCAAAAAAACATCGCAAAGATTGCATCACCAGGAGCATGTTTGTTGCCGTTTGATGGATGAAAAAGGATAGGCTTCTTCTGCGCAACGCCCTTGACACTAAATTACTAATATGGCTAATTAAGCAGTGGTGCAAAACAAGTGAAAAGAGTGCTTTAAAGGATGAGCACCCTGGTGCGTCTCCTAGACCGGAATGGCCCAACACCGGAATGTGTCCACTTCTGTTCATGAGGAGATATGAGGAGCCTGGTGCCTTCAAGAACACTGTCGTAGTGTCGTAGTGGCCCTCGTGCAAGTCGGGACGACAAACCACACCAATGATGGTGAAACGTCTCCAACCATGAATGCAACAACCCTGATTGCTGAAGCATGCAGCTGAGTAACCTGGTAGGCACATGCTAAAACATGTCGTAGACCTCCTTTAAAGGATCACATCCTTAATTAAAATCTGCCAGTCACATCTGGCATTTTAATGTGTGAACTGTGTGAACAGCTCTCACGCCCATTCTACCAGCGAATCTCAGATCCCGAAGCTTCCCACATCCTTTGCTTCTCAGCTACCGCATGATGGCCTTAGCAAGTCTCCAGTGTGAAGCCTCTCAGGCCCATAGCGCACTTCTTGGACGGTGAAGCCCGGCCACGTCCCAAACAGACTCAGTAGGAGCGCCAGGAGGATGTACATGCAAGCCAGAAATCGCCGAAAGCGCGTTCCGGCTGGCCACGCGTGCCATACATGCGCCATGAAGCAAAGACCCCCCCAACAAAAAGGAAAAACATGAACATTGATGAGGTCCTTGAAAGTCCTTTCAGAGTTTGTTTGCAGTATGACAGTATGATGCACTCACAGCTTGTCACGCTTTTTTTCCTTTTAATCCGTCCAGGGTCATAGGTTGGTTCAACCCGCATCCACCTCAAACTATAGCGAACGACGTGGTCGAAAGAATGGAACCTCCAGGTGCCTTGTTCAGCCTCATTTGATCAAGAAAACCGGGCAATGAAATGCAAACACGGTACATGTGCACGTGCAGGCCCAGGCGGTGCTAACCTGCTAACCTCTCATAAGAAGAAAGAACTCGCATCCAGTCACCTTGGACCACATTCAGGATCTGTTCGCCACTTCATCAACTCCCTCATGTGGACGATGGATGAATCTGAATTAATCTCCAAGTCTTCAAGGCCGTGCTCCGGCGCCCGCCTGGCGCACGGCCTCGTGCAAGGCCTCGTGAGCGTGGTCAACAAACGAAAGCCGTGGTCCGAACCAAACAAATGCCGACGATGGTGGCGACAGGCGACACTGCGGCCCACAGGCGACACAGAATCGACCATTCATCGAAGATTCAATCATGTCATTGACCATGTTTTGACCCATTGAAACGCGCCGTACGCCGTAAGGCACGACCCCAAAAACCGATACGCATTCACTCAAGGATGCTTGAGGATGCTTGGCTTGGGGGACCATGGGCGTTGTCGCAACTGGATCCGCTGGGAGTTGATGGACCAGCCGCAGCAAACCACACCTGCTTTTGCACACATGATCTTCCTCTTTCCGGGCATATGCCAAGCTGAATAAGCTCTGCTTGGGTCACTCAGGGTGACTCCTTGCAACTGCGTGGCACACCAAGAGCATCCAAGAGCTATATAAGTCTTCTTGGCTCATCTTCGCAAAACAACCCTCCACTCCCAAGTCCCCCTGCCCGCATGCACTCCTCAAACCTCCCACCCCTCTTCTTGAAACATGCCCCCTTCTCGGAGACATCTCCCAATCCCCAGAAGTTCCTCCCAACCCCCCCCTGTCCGGTCCTCTCTCCACGGTTCGTTGTCCCTCACCCGCTCCACCGGCTCGGCTCAAGCGGCATGATCCATGGGGCAGGGATGACGTCGCTGAAGCGCCACCCGCAACAGCTCCGCTGACCTCCACCCGGACGGTTCGGGCAGATCGAGGCGGGGAAGGAGCGGAAGGTCATCCGGCTCGGGGGACAAGAGTCGAATCGGTCCCATTTCCAATGTTTCCAATACATTATCTATTTGGGGGTCTACATAAAAGCAAAACCAGGAATATTACATAAAGCTGGTGGAGCCTTCCGAAACTTCCCGAGTCCTGTGGAGCCCTGGTGGAGCGAAACGGCACCTGCAGCCAAGGCGCTGCTCCTCTAAAGCACATCGGACGTCATCTTGGAACTCCTGGCGCCCCCAGGAATGTCCACGAGACCAACGGATGGTTTTTGCGGAACATGTATAACCTGATGACCAAGCCAAGCGCACCAGCTTTGAATTTGCACCATGGACATCCATGGAACATGCTCTTTTCAACCACCAGGGGCCACCGGCGCCATCTCACTTGGGGAACTCAATTCGGCCAAAGAAGTGCGAATGCAAGGCGCTTCGCTTTCTTTTGAGGCGTCCTTGCTCCGTTGCTTGGAGCAGGGTCGCAAGGGCGTCCGGATGTTGATGATTCGCGAGGGCCTTGGCAACGGCCACGAGCCGCTCGGTGCCAGTCCGCATCATTTCTCTTTGATTGTGTTGTGATATAGAATCCAGAGATTGATTGTTGAGATTGTTGGATTTTGATTGGTTGTGATCCACTATGTGAGCGCTGCGTAGAACAGCTCGTCGGTACTCAAATCTAGAGTCTAGCCGGGTTCTGTTTTTCATGGATTCAATCCTCCCTTGACACTTCATCAACCTGCTCCCAATGTCATGTTTATCAGCCATCCTGACCTTGGAGAGCACAACTTCCTTCAAATCGCCATAGTCACCGTCAGATCGGCCCTGGTGCGTAGGTTTCTCCAAAGCTGGCAAAGAAGGTGCTGATGCAGGTTTCTCCAACTGGGAACGGTGTATAGGTAGAATCTGACTGAGTGACACCTGATTTAGAGTATCAACCATCCAAAACACGGCCTTTTCCGTGTACTCCCGGGGTTGCAGGCTTGGACCAGCATCGATTTTGGCATATTAACATCCCCCCAAAACCAGCTCCGCCGCAGCCTCCGCCGGCTTGAGCGGCCCGGATTCGCCGAGCTTCGTTGATGCGGTCAGCTTCGAGGGTGTGGCACCTGCGGGCATCTGGATGGTGACGGGTCAGTGGGTCAGTGGAGCTGTCATGTCTACGGGCCCATGGCCCATGGCCCATGATATGTTCAGCCATATGACCATATGGAAACGCCATGTGGCCATTTTCAGCCATAGATATTGTCATGATCCCTGAAGGATCTACCGTGCTTCACCTGTGCTTCTTGCGTCTCAACTGAGGAGACACCCACAGACCGGGCGACGGGGCGACCAATCATTGCGCCCCCGTTCTGGCTTGATGCCATGAGCAAGCATCCTTGCCATGTAGCCAACTTCCAATCAGTTCACTTGAGGCCGTCGAGTAATCCAACTGCTGTTCCATCCCTCTCCTTTTTGGAGTTTCGAAGCCTGCACATCATTCCTACCTCTCAACCCTTCCACTGGCTCCGGGGCTTTTGCCTGCCTCCGCCTGAGGTGCCGCCCAAAGAGCTTCGACTGCTTCGGCACGGTGTGAAGCCCCACTTGGCTTCCGGCCTCAAGCGGTCCAACGGTTGAGGCAAGTGGCCGTAAGCGGTCCATGGCTTCCTCTCAGGTATCACGGTGTGGCCGAGAGAATTCGATTGAAATGACCTGACAATGTATAAATATATATAACACATCATATCATTCTATAATATTCTCTCTCTATCTATATATATATATATATCCGTGTGTGTGTGCATGCATGCATATGATGGCATATGCTGCACATGTCTAAAGTACTGTCTAAAGTCTATGTCACCACAAATCACCACCTCTATGGGCGGTTTGCCCAACCCCTGCAGCTGCAACGCATCTGCCTTTTCTCGTTGTCAACCGCCGCCACGCTTTCAGCGGCGAAACGAGGTCTAAACCGCACTGGGTTCCCTGTCTCCACCCAAACTGGCCATGGACAACTCTTGAGGCGAACTCTTTTTCAATCGGAGTTTTGATGGTCTACCTTAAAGCTGAGGATCTGCCTTGTCTTCAGATCTTGGGCTTGATTAGAATCATGCTCGCATGCAAGTGGCTCTGCAAAGGTCTTGCCACTCGAACGTGCTGTTTATCTCTAGCATGAATCAACCCAGCTTCTTTCACCCCGGAAATTCACATACCCGACATGAGAAGCATTGAAAAACCATAGGAACGGACCCGAAACCACCCCATCACACACCCAAAACATCCCCACAACGGTTTGATGGCCTGAGCCCTCCCCAGAACCTGCAAGAACTAGTACCCTCCCATCTGTCAAGCGATCCTTCGTGGTGTCTTTTATCAGTTTGGTACAGTGGGAAAACGCAGTGCGGCCAGTGTGGGAGGGAGTTCACAATGTGGTGACACTTACCTCATCTTCCACTTCACCTGCAAGGTATTTGTACAACTTCTTCTGGAAGCGCTCCTTCACTTCCTGAGAAACGTGCAGCTCCATGCAGCATGGGCAAAATAAATAGTCAACTACCGGCAAATCCTAAGGTCATACCAGGACAATACAGCCTTTGCAGTGAGATCAACCGAAACCCTTTAGGCTAGAAAAAACAGCCACACAAAACAGCAAACATGTAAACATCCAACAGTTTCAATGTAATGTATCGACCATGACGGCCTGTTCGGGTTTGAAGAATCCCTCCATTCGGCCGAAACCAGGGCGCCCTGAAACCCAGCTTTCTTTTGTGATTTGCTTCCATGGACAATGGTGGATTCCCAAGTGTTATCGTTTTTTGATGTCATGACTCGTGCCACCTGATACAAAATCACGTAACAAAAACTGATCGATCTGCATTTTTTGGAACAATAAATCAAACACCAAACCTCTTTGTTGGTTTGCACTGGCCGCTTTCAAACAAATTGAATGACCCATCAGTCCTACAATACCCGCACTGCAAAGTGCCCAAACATCATTTCTTCAAATCACAGCCGGTTTTGCAATGGTTTCTCCTTCACCTGACCCCGTCGAGTCACTTCTTAATCGTTTCCACCGGTTTGCTGGGCCTCGCCACGCACCCTCTCGCCCACAGGGGACCCGTGCGAAGGGCCAAGGCGCCGTGCGCAGCAGCGCTGCAGCCAGTTGAAATTGCCGTTCGTGCTCCTCGAGGACGACGCAACACGCACAGTCTGATGTGAATCGCTTGCTGAGTTCCGAAACCGTGTAAACAAATAAGTACTAGAAGAAAAACAGGTCCAAAAGGAGGATTGTTTTTTTCAAGAATTGGTTGGGTAAAGGGCTTGAACAGTCACAACATGGCGCCCCTCAAATCAGCGTCCCATGTCCACTGCGTGGCTTTGCGTGGTTCCAAATGGCCACGTCCTTCAAAGAGTAAGTGTAAGCCTGGATCAACCTCTCATGGGAGAATTGGATGCGTACACCAAAACCTTGGTGAGACTTTGATGTGGTTGCTCATCCAAAACCCAAATCTTGGCCGAGAGGCTGGAATGGACTTGGACCGGAGCTCCTTGGCACTCAACAGTGTGTCGATCACCTCGCAAACCGAGGCGCAGGTTGTGGCCAACATGGATGTGGCCCGTTGGGGCACCCAAACCTTTGCAAACTCCAAGAGCCTGCCCTTTTTCAGATGGCAGTTGCGCGTGATTAACAATCATGTTGAAAACAGTGACCTTTTTGACCCTCGGCTTATTACATTTTCAATTTGTTGTGTCTCTGCCCTGAACGGGGCAAATGAACTAGCTTAGTGGTTTGATGCGATGCATCACCTGGAAGAAAAAAATTAATCCCTTAAACACCCCTGTATTTGGGCCACTGAGCCCCAAAGGCTTACAATCACAAGGAATGATGAGATATATACATGTTGAAGGAAAGGAACGGGTATGCAACATGTACGCAGTACATATACTGAAAAAGCGTTCCGATGTTAACCCCAAAGATATATACTTATATACATTATGCACCTGCCAACTAGCACGGCCACTTTAAAGTGGATGTGTATATATATATATACAATTATATACACATATTTCAATGAAACGGCCACATTCTTATGAATTTTAGACTTCCATTGTGAAGGTCAATATTGGAGAAAAGGTGTCAAAGTAGGATCCAACCTTGAGTAACCCCCACCGCCATCCAACCAGGTGAGTGGAGGACAGTGAAGAAGTCGTTGCCCGCTTCTTCTGCAAGTGACCAGGCACCGGCAAACCCTTTACACGAACCAACGCACAAAACACACTTGAACCTGTTGGTTTTGGAACAACTGCAAATATACTGGCAATGCCAATTAGCTCGGTTGACCCGCTGAGGCCATGAAGGGCCATTAGTGCATTCCAGGGGAAGCAGCCTCTCTCCCATGTAAAGGGACCTTTTTCACTTGATGCCAGGTGATCGGATGCGATCCTTCAGAGCACGGCCATGGGGAAAGAGCGCCAAAGGGATCGGTGGCCATATATAGATAGATAGATAGATAGATAGTATTGAATCGCCTGCTTTAAAACAGGCCTCTCGTGCTTTTGCGGAGCAAGTGGCCGTTTCAGAAAAAGGTTTTTGCACATGGCACCCACCTATGGTTCAATATCCCTCCCAACCAAAGTTTGCTGTGCAACTCTTGATGTGCGGCTACAAGGTAACGATAGATGATCTTTACCGCTTGCAACTTAGGTGAGACACGACGGGAAAGCTATAGGAGACTTTCCCCTTTCGGCATGAAGGCCGAGTCACGACTATAGATCGGTGCCCGAACGCTCCATGAACGGTGACAAAATGACATATGGACTTTTGGCCTCAGCTTAAATAAACAATCTCCTTGGCTGCAAGTCTCCCGCGCCAACGAGCGTAGCATGACCTAAACGCACGGCCCACCGCACCTCGGCTTCCGTTCAAGTGTCAATGTTCTTACTCCAGTGTCCTGTATAGGAAAGGACCTCGACGATTTGAACGCCAGAATGTCCAGCAAGAACCTTCCCCAATTCAATCACCGGTCTTTGCGAAAGGAAGGCTCGCAACTCACCATTGACCAAAACAGCACTCAATTGAATTGGTCTACGCATGTCAGGCAGTTGCAACAGGTAGATCAGTGAACTTGCGCTGAAGTCTTTGCCTACACCAGCCTTGTACAAATGATTTTATCAGGGCGACAGAAGGACGCTGCGTCTGGCTCATTCATCTCCGGAATGAATCAGGGGAGATCATTGATTGGGCCCACTGCACGCGTCCACGCAGCTGCAGCCGTGACCTGCAGGTGATCGAAGGGCGGTCCGTCCGACTTTCCCGCCTATGAGCTGTACTGTTGGCCTTCGCCTTTGGCGCGGCTTTCCTGGGAGTCGCCTTTCCCTGTGCCACATTGCCCTTCTTGCGCGTCTGCCTCCTCCTCCTCCTCCTCCGCTTGATCCTCTTCCACCACCCCATCCTCCTTCTCCATTATTGTTTCTCCTTTTTCCGAAATATCGGCTTCTTACTTCTTCCTCCTCTTCCGCTGAACACGATTCCTCCACCGCTTTTTTCTTGGTCTTCCGAGCTTTGGCCTTGGCTTTCTTTTTCTTTTCTGGCTTCTTTGCTTTCAAAGGGAAGTGGTGGCTCTTTCAACCACCAGTGAGTCTTCCACATCCTCGCCATGGCGAAGTCTAAATCTGCAAGACCCTTGTGCTTTTGGTATGGCTGGTCCTGTTCCTTCCAACGCCGGTCTTCTTCGGGTCTCACTATCGCTCTCATCCGCATCCCAAACTAATCCAACATGCCCGCTTGAAAGATAACATGGGTATGGGCGGCCATCGTGAGCATGGCTTTCAGACGGACCAACCTGTACTATTTCGGCGGACCATTAAAAAACAGGTGTGTGTAAGATCCCCAACAGGACGAATCTTCCAAAGCTTTGTCGTGGGCCCATGAGAGACCCATAGCCATAGCAAGGTTTCTGGCTTTAGGATTCTTAGATGAACGCGATCGTGGCTCCAGATACCGGTGCTTTGTCCATGCAGCATATGGCCACGCAAGAAAAGGAACACTTCCATCTGTGACGAGCATATGCCCCAACATGTTTGAGTGTCACGGCACCTGTGAACCATTGACCGAGCGCAAGCATGTGTAGAAATCAAAGGAGCCGAGACATATACAACCGTTTGCGCGAACAATTCTGCAGACTTTTTGCTCTTCAGGAGCCACTGGACCAGCCTTCCTGTACCAATCCAATGGTCCTGGCTCCGGTGCCAGACGGCTCAGATGTCCTTGGGCTTCTTGACCGCCCTTGCCTTCGTCGTGGAGGTGGTGGCCAAGCAGACCTGAAAATTTCAATCGAGAATAGTAAAAATTTATTGAACGAATGCCCCAAGACGCTCCCAAAAGTCGTCCCCATATTCAATCTCTGGGCTGTCCGGTTGAGGAGGTGGTGCAGCCATGACCACAGGGACACGTAAGGCGAGAAAGGCAAGCAAAAAAAGGCTGCAGCTTCACATTTTGCAAACTGCACTGCGCAGGCCTCTATATTCAGAGGTCAAGGAATCTGTGCAGTTGGAGCATTTCCCTTTATCACCAAAACTGCACAGATCTATGCCCCCCGAGTGGCTGAGGTCAGGCCGCAGGATCTGTGCAGTTTTTGCATTCAGGTATTTTGGTTTGGTTCCCCATGTCATGGGGTCTGTCGTTTTGGTACTTTGGTTCCCGGGTCATGGGGTCTGCAGTTTTGGTACTTTGGTTCCCCACGTCATGGGGTCTGCAGTTGTGGTACTTTGGTACCACAAAACACTACAATGGTGAGCAAATAGAAAATCGGCCCAAAACACAGTTACGTACGGTAAATCACATAAAAGGTAGGTAGCGGGGGGGGTACCGGTACCCTATATACACACATATATATAATATAATATATATATATGTTGTATGTGTGTATAAAGTATTTAGGATGAATCTTCCGAGTTGGAATTGGAATCAACGTCACACAAAACCACCCTGTTTCCACCTGGGTTTGGGGTGGAAACTCGAAACGGCGCCCGAGTCTTTAAGATGCGCCTGGATCTTCTCCCAACTGCTTTTCTCCCGCAAAGAGGGGTAGCCAAAGGCATGGCCCAAGCGGTCGAAGTCATCCTTGGAACAAATTATAGACTATATACATAATATTACATACGTTCTGTATATACATATAATAATAGACGATGGACCAACACCAAAAAAATAGAAAACTAAACCATTTGTTCCCTGCTGGAGCAAATGTTTATCCAACACGGTTTCCTGCAGGCCATCGTTTCTCGCGTCAGGCTGTCATAGGCTGTAGCTGCTGAGCGATTTTGACACTGCCTGATGCTGGCGCCAACGATCATTTGCCACTGCAAGACCAATCCTCCTGTAGGTTCCAACACCTTCGTTTGCAGCTCAGAGTCTAGCTTCAAAGCAGCTGCCTTCCTGAGAAAGGGAGAACCCGTGAAAGCCTGGATCCCGACGGCTACGCTAATCATACAACATGAAAGTTTGTTCCATATATAAAGACTCCCTGTGTTCTTCTTCCTTTTTTACCGCAATGCAAGACCT